CACCAATCAACATCTAAGATACTTGTCCAAATGATAGAATCAATCGTGCAGAAAACAGTATAACGTGTGTAGTTCAAACTTTTTGAAACTCACCTGAATGCAGCCGTCTTCACATCCCACAGCCCAAAAGTTGGCATTTCCAGCCAAAACAGTAACTTTTCCAGAAATCCGGTCAGACCAGAGAGTTTGAGCGCCTCTGGAACAAAGTATCTCAGTTTCTTTTATTACAAATGAATTTCCTGTCCCCAAAACATCATTGGCAGCTTGTTCTCTGGATTGAGCCTCTAAGCAAATTGGACCAATGTCCACCCCTTCTTTATTATCAAAAACCCTGATTAAAAGTGTACCACCAGTACCCGAATGAGGAGGATCCTTGACAATTCCCATCTGTTCAATGCCGACACTTCCATCCTTGCATGCAGAAGGTGGAACCTTCTCAATGATGAGGCTATCACTGATGGTAGCTCTAGCAGTTACACCTGAGCGCTCCCTTTGATCAGCACTGACACTAACTGTTTTCCTTGCAAATCCATCTCTAACACTAGCACCAGACAGTACCATACCATTATCATCTTTCCTTTGCTCCACTGTCATATTAGGAAATTCAACAACAGGAGATTGAGCAATTCCAGAGGTGTTCTCCAGTGGGATAGGAAAACCAACTGATTCTGGGATTATCCTCTTTCGACCATCAGGTCTTCTGTACTCTCTTTGTTTCACAGGACTTGACAAGCGTGTAGAAGCTGCGGGTTTAGCTAAACTATCACTGTTAACTCCTTCAGTCTTTTTCCCATTATCAGATTGTGGTTTGGGAACAATCACCACACTACCCAAATCAACAGATGATTTTGACGTTGCTTGAACTTGCGGAAGAACCGTAGTTAGTTTTTTGCTTGAAGTCTGCTTTGCAGCTGCTGCTTCAAGCAACAGTTGTGCTGGACTTTCAGCTAAATTTGCCTGTCGACCTCTAACATCACCATAGCGGCTTCTCTTCAACTCCTCTAATTCAGCATCGGATAGCTGATGACCAAGTTCTTTCTCATCAAAATGGAAAGTGGCTACACTTCCATCCAAAGAACATGCAAACAGTGAATATCCATCAGGGCTCCTGCACAGAGAAAATTATATCCTGAAACAAAGCCAAAAAAGAACAAAGACAATTCAAGATAAAAAATGTCTTTACTGTTGCGAAAAAGACCAATGTTGATGATGCTATGAGCTAACTTACCATGATAAATCCACAACACTTTGAGCAAAAAAATGCTTGGCAACAAAAAGAGGACGTGGACTTGCTGTAGTCCAGACAGTTATGGTGCGATCTTGACTTCCTATAGCAATGACATTGTAGGGTTGGGACTCTTTTCCTTCACTTTTTGAAGAACCATTTGACCATCCAAGAGAAGCATTTTTCACTTCCTGAGCGTTAGCCAAATTCCTCCGAAACATAGAATGATTGAACTTAACGACAATAATAGGAGCATTGTGTCCTAAGAAGTCAAAGGTGGCAGACCATTCCCCTCTCTCCAGAACAGGAGCAGAGTGCCTAGGCTTTTGAAAACCATGAGTAGTAGTTATATAGTGTCCACAGGGTGACCATCCAAGACGCCTAAAGAAGGTCGATCCAAGCTGAAAAAAAGACACAATTGTTAGGGTATAAGTTTCAGAATAAACATAAAATAAAATTTTAAGAGTAAAAGAAACTCACAGATTTTGCCCAGTGACCTTCAGTTCTATGAGCAAGGCTCCAGTCGCTTGTTCGCCAAATTATGACAGTCTTATCATCTGATTGACTAGCTATAAATGAACCAATCGGATCCCAGGTGACACCTTTAACAAGACTAGAGTGACCCCTCAGAACAGCAGAGCATATACCATTGCTCATATTCCAGATATGGATGGTGTTGTCCATACTACCACTAGCCAATGTCGAGTCATCTGGAGACCAATTTAGATCCACCTACTTTAAACATGGAAAGAGAAACCCGATTGGTTAGTAAGGTACATGGTTAGACAATATAAGCATCTATTCAGAAGCAAATATGAACTCAAATGATTTCAAGGTCCACTGAATGACAAAGTTCTCAGATCTTACTATCACAGTGAGAGCCAAATATAGGATATTAAGAAAGAGGTTTGTCAAAACTAATATGATTTGAGCACCCAAGGGTGTGGTCAATGATGTCAGTTCAGCACCATGAGGTTCAAATCCAAACACTAGGGATTAGGAGGTGGTGGGAATTGCGTGAAATTAGTCGAGATGCACGCATGTGCGGTCTAACACAACAGTTATCAAAAAGAAATGATTTGCATAGCAAGCAATATAGTTATTTAGAAGCTAAAAGATCAGTCTCATTACCACATCCGCAGTGTGTCCTCTCAATGTCATGGTAACTTTCCAGTTCTCTACATCAGGAGGCTCTCCACTACCAAACTCTGTGGTTCCTGAGCCAGGTTTCCTCTCATGGACTTGAATCACCTGGTCATCGGAGCCAGAAGCAACATACCGACCATGTTTTGCCCATCTAACACAGTTCACTGACCCAAAATGATCACGTAGTGTGGCAAGAAGTTTTGGTGTAGATTCATCCGCTTCCAAGTCCTTACCCACACATTTCATGTTCCATATCCGAACCTGAAGATTAAATGCATATAATGCGAAGTACTACGTTAGTAACAGTATACTGCAGTAATGCAGAAAACAGATATGAGTATCAAGATAGAAGCTCCTCACTCTAACAAACAAAACTAAGTACAGATAATAAACCACACAGAAGCAAAAAGATGCCTTTACAGAGGATCAGAAGTGATACCAAAAGCTAGATCTTCAACTAATTTGCACAATCCTCACCCACCCACCCCAAGAAAACTAATCCAGTAACCTTTCATGAAATAGCATTTCTTACAAGGACGAAACATACTTTAAACTCCCCAACACTTGAGAACCTTGATCACATAGAGATAATATAATCTCAATCTTCATTTCACTATTGAAAAAAAAATAACCTTACAGTTTCCAACTAATGAAAATTTGTTAGTACTAGACTAAAGATGAACTAATTGAATTCAGAACCAACTTCAATTGTTCAGGTTCCAAAATCCAGGATAAACTAAAAATGTCCATCATCAACAACAACATACCACCCTGCTAAATCCCACAAGTTGAGTCTGGCTAGGGTAGTAGAGAGGTTTGTTTCACATAGATCCTCGGCTTGGAAAAGCATATCGAAGAAGAACAAAAAAGAAATAATTGAAGTGAAGTGCTTCAATACAAAGCATGATAAAGCACCCTATTAAAAAAGGAACAATAAATGCACCATGGTCGAAGTACATGAAGACAGTAGATAGTAACAGAAACCATGTTCATCAACTAGTTAAAACTGTTAGCACATAGCTCGCAAAATATTTAACTAAAATTTCCCCTACGCCAACCAATGAATAGCTAAAAGTTAATAAAGCCAGACAAAAAAAAACAAGAATAAAAAAACAGTTACCTTATGATCACCACCACCAGTGGCAAACCTAAGACCACCTGGCTGAATATCAATGGAGAAAATCTGCATACTCTCATGTCTAATCCAAGTAGGTTTCTCAGCAATCATCTTTCAAAATTCTCAAATTCTTGATTTCTTTGCTGCTTAACCCCAAAGACTCCACCTTTTTCACTCTAAACTCAAAAAACAAAAACCCCACAACTTCAAAATCAACATACCAAAGAAGAAACCCCAAAATCAAACACAACAACAAAAATGAAATTACCCCCACAAGAAAAAAAAAAGTAAAGAGATAAAACCCTAGTTGAGAAAAACAAAAAAAAGGGGGGGAAAAACCCAAAAAGGAGTAAAATTTGGACAAAAAAATGATCTTGATTAATTCAGTTCCAAAAATTTTAAAAAAAACCCTAGATTTTGAAAGTAAAAGGTGAAGTGGGGTTGAAGTTTTATTTTTAAAAAAGAGATTTTTAATGCAAAATCCAATGATTTTGCTAACTGTCAAATCTAATAAAAAGATTAAAGACTGAAAAAAAAAATTGCAAAAAAAGTAGAAGAATATAATCAAAAAATTACTAGACTATTCAAGTCTTGTGACACAAAACAGAAAAAAAAAAACAGAATTTTTTGTAGGGTAAAAAAAAATTGAGAGAAGACAAAGGCGCACACATAAAATAATTTTTTGTTTTTGGTTAGTGAACATAAAGTTATGGGACAGAGTTTTTCTTTTTACTATAGTAACAATGTTCGAGTCAGTTTACGACTTTAGGTAAATGAGTATTTTTATAAAAATATTTGTTAATATTTAATAAATTAATAATTTTTTAAAGATAATATTTTTAAATGAAAAGCTATTTTTTGATATAATTTTAAGGAATTTCCTAGGTTGTTTGTATATAGTTTATTCTCTCACCTTTATATATTGAATGAATGTTCTTAGTAAAGATTTAATGAATAATATTTAATTATTGAAAAACAATTAAAAATAGGAAAAATAAATGTATTTTTACAATGAATCATTGAATTTATTTTATAATGTTTTAATAAATAGAGAGTTGCAATGAATCATACACATACATTGTACTTTGTATATAATGAATCTATTTTTTTTATATAAATTAATAAATATGATACATAATTTAATAGGATATATGATTTTAATGTATTCAATATACTTTATGTATAATAAAATATTATTTTTTAATGCAAATATTTAATAAATATGATGTATAAATTAGTAAGATACAACTCAAAATTAATCTTTACTAAATATGAAAACACTCTTTATAAATTTATCGATTAAATAATACGTCTAAAAATAATTATATATTATAATTCCGTCTATATTAATTTAGTAAATTTTTTTGTGTAACCTATTTGAATTAATTTTTTAAAAAAATTAATCTAGTAATTTTAAATTAAATACATATGAAAAAAAACTTGTAGTCGAACCTCTCGTACGAACTTTAAACACCAAATAACTTTTTTTTTACAAAATACAATTTTTGAAAATAAAATTTAATCAAACTTTAATATTGCTACGTGAAATTATATATTTTTTTTAAAAACATAGTAGTACTACTTAAATTTCAGTTTCCAACTGTAAATCAAACAAACCGGCAATGATTCTAAGGTCGTGTTTGGAAAAAGTTAGGCCTTTTCTGCATTTCAAGAATCCATTGAACACCCATTGTTGTTCTCATTCATTCGCCATTGATTTTGAAGAAGAAGCTCAAACAAGTTGTTCTGTATCTTCAAATTATCTCTCTGCACACCAAGTGTTTGATGAAAAGTCTCAGAGAGTTTCTTTGAACAATCACTTGTTATTTGAGTACTCCCGGAATAGTTTCAATGTAGAAGCTCTGAATCTGTTTGTGGGTATTCATCGTAATGGATTTTTGATTGATGGGGCGAGTCTTTCTTGTATATTAAAGGTCTCTGCTTGTGTGTTTGATTTGTTTTTTGGTAAACAGGTGCATACTCTTTGTGTTAAATCTGGTTACTTTGACCATGTTAGTGTTGGGACTTCACTTGTTGACATGTATATGAAAATGGAGAATGTTGATGATGGTCAGAAATTTTTTGATGAAATGGAGGATAACAAGAATGTTGTGACTTGGACTTCATTACTTTCGGGTTATTCGTGTAATAAGTTGGTTGATAGAGCGTTACAAGTGTTTCGTGTAATGTTAGTTGGAGGGGTTAAGCCTAATGGGTTTACTTTCGCGACAGTTCTTGGAGTTTTGGCTGATAAATGTGTAGTTGAAGAAGGGATTCAAGTGCATAGTATGGTTATCAAGTGTGGTTTTGAGGCGATAACGTCTGTTGGGAATTCTTTGATTAACATGTATTTGAAATACGGGATGGTTAGAGAGGCTACAACTGTATTTGAGGTTATGGGAGATAGGAATGAAGTATCTTGGAATGGTATGATAGCTGGTCTGGTGACTAATGGGCTTTACTCCGAAGCACTTAAGTTGTTCCACAAGATGAGACTTGCAGGTGTGGATATGACGCGATCGATTTATGTTACAGCTGTTAAATTATGTACTAACCTTAAAGAATTGGTTTTTGCAAGACAGCTTCATGGTCGAGTTATGAAGAACGGGTTCTATTTTGACAATAACATCAGAACAGCGCTCATGGTCTCTTATACTAAGTCTGGAGAGATGGATGATGCCTTCAAGTTATTCTCTATAATGCATAAATTCAGGAATGTGGTTTCTTGGACCGCAATGATTGGCGGGTATATGCAGAATAATAGACCAGAGCAAGCGGCGAATCTCTTTTGCCAAATGAAAAAGGATGGGATAAGGCCAAACGATTTCACTTATTCTACTATTCTTGCAGCTCATCCGTCTATTTCGCTGTTCCAAGTACATGCAGAAGTCATCAAAACTGAGTACCAGAGCTCACCTACTGTCGGAACTGCATTATTAGACGCCTATGTGAAAACAGGAGATACTGATGAGGCTGCGAAAGTTTTTGAAGAGATTGATGAGAAGGACATTATTACATGGTCTGCTATGTTATCTGGTTATGCGCAAAAAGGAGACATTCAAGGTGCTGTCAGAGTCTTCCGACAATTAGTCAAAGATGGGGTCAGGCCAAATGAGTTTACCTTCTCTAGTGTCATCAATGCGTGTGTTACTTCCATTGCATCAGTGGAGCAAGGAAAACAATTTCACTGTAGCGCGATCAAATCAGGTCACAGTAATGCCTTGTGTGTGAGCAGTGCCTTGGTAACTATGTATGCTAAGAGAGGAAACATAGAAAGTGCTAATGAGATTTTCAAGAGACAACCAGAAAGAGACTTAGTATCATGGAACTCAATGATATCAGGATATGCCCAACATGGTTATGGAAGAAAAGCTCTAAAGATATTCGAGGAAATGCGGAAAAGGAATTTAGATATGGACAATATAACGTTCATAGGAGTTATCTCTGCTTGTACTCATGCTGGACTGCTAAATGAAGGTCAAAAATATTTTGAGATGATGGTAAACGACTTTCATATTTCACCAAAAATGGAGATATACTCTTGCATGGTAGACTTGTATAGCCGAGCTGGAATGCTGGATAAAGCCATGTCTCTTATCAATAAAATGCCATTTCCTGCTGGTGCAATTGTGTGGCGTACTCTTCTGGCAGCAAGTCGAGTTCATCGCAATGTAGAGCTGGGGAAATTGGCGGCCGAGAATCTCATTTCTCTTCAGCCTCAGGACTCAGCTGCATATGTCCTCCTATCCAATCTCTATGCTGCAACTGGAGATTGGCAAGAAAGAGCGAAAGTAAGGAAACTAATGGATGTGAGAAAAGTAAAAAAGGAGATTGGGTATAGCTGGATTGAGGTTAAGAATAAGACCTACTCATTCATGGCTGGTGATGTTTCACATCCCCTATCTGACAGTATATACATGAAACTCGAAGAGTTACGTGGCCGATTGAAGGATGCAGGATATCAACCGGATACAAATTATGTTCTTCATGATGTGGAAGATGAACATAAAGAAACCATTCTTTCTCGGCACAGTGAAAGGTTAGCTATTGCTTTTGGATTGATTGCCGCGCCTCCAGGAATTCCCATTCAGATAGTGAAGAATCTCAGAGTTTGTGGCGACTGTCACACTGTTATTAAATTAATATCAAAGATAGAAGGAAGGCAAATAGTCGTCAGGGATTCAAATAGATTCCATCACTTTAAAGGAGGTCTATGTTCTTGCGGTGATTATTGGTGAATTCAAGCTCTTCGAATAGACAAAGAGATAGCAGCATATCACAGTTGGTTCCTGTATAAGCAAAGGCACCATTAACTAATGGAGCTTTAGCTGACAGGCCTATACCCGAAGTTGCATCAATTATCAGCCCCCAGATAATACTATGACTCACGGTTATTTTGTTCATGGATTCAAACTTTGATACTGCACAGTCTAGAGGAAGAAACAGAGAATTTTCCAACTTCACATATCTACAGATTCAAGTAATTTTACTTACGGACTGAGGGATAGAAATGGTGTCATTTTGGCTGATTTTTAAGAGCAGTTGATCAATCGCGATCCGCCTTACAGAAAACAATCAGAAACTCAGAAGAATTAATTTGAGTGGAGGTTTTCTTTCCTGCAGATAAAGAATGTCAGAGCCTCTTGTCGCTTACCGAGAATCGAAGTATGTCATCAGGTATTTTGTTCAACATGTTTTTTCTGGTCTTGCTGCTCGTAATGCTGCATTCTGTAGGAAAGGTGGTCTTGCAACAACAATGATGACCAACTGGCAGCTCTTTCATTTCTAGCCCTCTTTCTGATTATGTTTTAATTTGAACCTAACCTTGAGCATGTCAAACTCATGAAGGATGTGGAATTGTTCAGAGTCCAGGAAGGACCATTCAGTAACGCCTTTTGACAACGGCTGACACTTCAGAGATTTCTTGCTACCCCATAAATCTATATTCAGATACAGGTTAGAACCATTAACTGTGTTTATGCTTTGCTACATTACTGAAGTTTATCTAACTGATGAGTCGATTCTGTATCAGAATCGACTCAATGAGTTGAAACATCTCAGGTTTTTCCTCATATTTTATAAAAAATGACGGATTCCTCACTGTTTTCTTCTTATGTTGTAGGTTTAACCTCATATATTGTAACTTCTTATGCATTGCTGCAAGTAGCATCTGCCTAGTACATATTCGCCAAGCTTTTGCTTCTGCTGACTTGGCTGGCCTATGCATCAGACTTGAAATCAAAGAGAGGCTGCACATATGTGCTAGATTTTCCACAAATATGCATCCGCGGTCAACCCTAGGTTCTTGAAATTGTGAGGGGAGGCCTCTAGTATGTCCATGATATTCAGGTCAGCTTGCATGCACCTCGACTAATTCCACAGTGATACTTGCTACTTTCAAACACTTGGGGATTGATTTGCATTTATGTAAATATCTGAAATGATTAGATCAATATGATTTGTTATAAGATATACATTTCTTCATGTCATTTATACCAATAACTAGTGTATTGATAACTGTTCTTGGAGTAGTTGGTCCTGCCCTTAGCCAAAGTACCTATGATTCCATTTTTCAAGCAATTTTGCTTAACTTGTTCTACAACATCTGATGACACCTTCATGGGCACATTCTTATCTGGGGTACATTCTTCTCTGGGGCGATCTCGTTTAATCGAAATCAACTGACTCATAATAGTGAAAATTGGCACACACGCGTCAGATCCATTCGAAGATGAAGCTTGCACCAGTCATGAACTTTGAGCACACTTTGAGTCAGTAACTTCAGAAGGTAAGTAGGAATGCTCATGAAATGATTACAAAGTAATTGCAATTAGTATTTTAAAAGGAAATACAACAAAAATACTAGCAAAATGTTCTGTCTTGACATTGATAAATACATGCAAAGCTAAAACTGATACAATCCAAGAAGGTAAACAATGTCAATCTCTCCCATTTGAAGAACCTTTGAAAATCGCAAATTTTTCAGACAAGTAGAAGGGAGAAAAAATACAAATCACGGCAACTCCAGGCGTAGTAGTTATCGGAAACACATCAATCTCTTCAACCTTCTTCTCCAAATTCCTTCGTGAATCTGTCATGCACTTCAAGGTCGGATTTACTAACTGTTGGCCTTTGACGAGCAAGAACCTTATCAAAATCAGTCTTTGTAATGGGTGGCGGGATGATCTGCAAGGGCATTAATCAGCAAGCTGTTTATAACTAGTCCCGGCAGATAAGGAGACAGTTTATGTAAAGCCATATCAGAACTTCAGACTAGAATATTTACTAGGTAATTCTTTTTCTAGAGCAGAGGATCTACCGGAAATTACCCCTCTCTACCTAACAAGAGTAGGGTAAAGTCTGCGTATACTCTACAATCCTCAGACCCTACTTGTGGGAGCACATCAGGTCTGTTGTCGTTGTTGTTAATTCTAATATCAGCTATTAGATGTAGTTCATTAAAAGCACAATCTCTTCTTACATTTTAGTTCAACAAAATCATATGATGTGCAGACCTTTATGCGAGAATCACATTTAATTACTGTATTACTAGTGAATCAAAAGAAGTCAAATTTCCAGACATGTGCAGTCGTACGCCCCGGCCCCAATATATTCCAGCTAAAACTCATAAGAACTTTTTTATTGAGAAAGGTAAAGTTGCAGCCAAATAAAAAAAACTACGTATGGCAGTGATCTCAAACTATAAATGTGTCCCAAATATCTACCTGGGACGCGAGTCCTTTAGCAGCAAGTTCCTGCATAGTTGTCTGCACAGCACCCCGTTGCTTCGGTCCGCATGGAATCCAGGTACCATTAGAAGTTTGAGTAAAGAACACAGCATCTTGTGTCTTACGTACAGGTTCAAATAGCACGTCCTTGACCTGTCCAAGAAGAATAAGTATATAATATATGACGAGAACATTGAGGAATTCCCGCCTTTGTTACCTCCAGTACAAACCAGACAAAAACATTGTGGGCATCAAGGCAAATTCATTAAGGAGACTTACACAAACAGAAACATCTGAACCAGAAAAACCTTCTGTCTTACGGGCCAGGTCTTCAAAGTCACACTCGTTCAAGTTATGGGGGGTATCACCTAAATGAACCTGCACGTGTAATGAGCCAATCTAAATAAATCTAGCTCTCACAAATCGACTTGCAATATATTTCCTTGAACTTCACTTTCCAAGAAAAATCACAGAACAGGATTTTACTTTGAACATTTTTTTTTATGAAGTAGTTTCATTTAAAGGCGGGATTTACTTTGAACATGTGTTGCCGTGCCTTCAAATCAGGGAGCGGAATGTAGATACGCTTATCAAATCTTCGCCGTATAGCCTGTAGAGGACAATTTCCGTCAGCAATAAATTTCTAAGATCCACAACTTTAAAGTGCAGATCATTCTTCACCTGATCTAGGGAATAGGGTGTATTTGTTGCCGCAAGTACAAGAACTTTATCATCATTGTGACCAACACCCTGAAAAAGCAAATTAAATAAGAAAAAGAAATCTATAGCCAAGGGGATTTCTCTTCATCTTTTCTTTCTGATAGGTCGAAGTTGGTTACGAGAGGTCCAGGAACCACATCATAGCTATGAAATATGATAGATCAATTACCTGCATCTGCACAAGGAGTTCTGTTTTAATACGTCGAGAAGCTTCACTTTCATTTCCTTCTCCTCGCTGCCCACACAAGGAATCAATTTCATCAACAAATATAATGGATGGAGCGCTTTCTCGAGCCATTTGGAAGAGGTTCGAAACTAGCTTTTCACTTTCACCCATCCACTTGGATACAAGGTCTGATGACGAGACACTGCACGAAAATAGCAGTTGGCACTCGCCAACTTTACAGCGTAAGCTCTTGAAAATGGGAAACTGAGAAAATAACTGACAAAGAACAGATACACGACGACTATATTCATGTTAGCAATTCATGTTTATAAGCCTCCATCAAGATGATTATGTGCAAATTTAAACGAGAAATTAGATAGTGCAAATGGAAGATATATTACCACTGAGAACTGCAGAGATTTCACAGAATACTTGCAGGTATAGAATCATTCAAGGAATCAGGAATCTTGACATCGCCCGCAAAATGGAAGCCGGGTATATTAGAATTTCAGGAAAAGGGTCATTGTACTATGTACATATTATATTTTGTTTCTAAAAAGGCATCAATCCAATAATATCACATTCTATAGCTTGGTTGTCTCTATTCACAAGATGTTAGGCATCCCAATAACCCCCACAACTCATTGGTCATCCCCTTATGCTAGACTATAGTCTTCACACCCTGAATACTTCCTAAGATACACATGCAAAGACATTTATATTATGACTTAAGGGTGGATGTACCTCTATGGCACAACTACTCCATAAAATTGGTACCAAGTCAAAACATTCAACACCCCTGGATACCAGACTATATTTATCAAGCAATTCCAACATCAGATTCTGTCTTAGATGTATAAATCTGCAAGTGATACACCACCGAGGGAGACAACCCAGATATGCCATTTCTGGAGGAAAAGAACCTCATGGGAGGTAGACACTCAAAAGAACCATAAAATCTCAACAAAAATAAAGCTAATACAAATACTATATTTTATGAGCAGACAGTCATTTCCCACAACAAATAAGGAGCAACACCCACGAAACTACAAGGCCAATGGATCATGACCAAGATGGTAAATTAGCAGGAGTTAATTGAGATTCAAACAAAACACAAACTTTTTGACGTACTGAGCATATAAAGAGGCTTACATCAGCCAACTCCACGCAAAGGCACAAGCACCATCCCACACTCCAAGAAGGAAAACAAAGGCAATGTAAAAGACTCCTAGTTGACTTGGATATTGAACCACATTCCGTATTTAGTCATTGAGCCCTTTTACGTTTCTTACTACTACTGATCCTTGACTCAAGCACCAAATTACATCAAAACATCGTTCATGCAAAGAAGAAAATAAACAAAAAAATATGAGAAAGGAAGGTCATAGAACTATAAAGATAAAGAAATTATGAGACAGGAAGGCCAAAAAAAAAAATACAAAGGAAATTAAATAAGAACCTAACAAGAAAATGGTACATCTTCTCCCCCGACTTCTTATTGGTATTCTGAAATTTTCCTTTATAATCTTAAGGGATGCTAAGCAGATCCTCATTTTGCTCAAGATCTTTTTTTTCTTCACACATGATAGATGATATGATGTACAAAATTCGCAATTTAAATACAGCCTTTGGTATTACAAAATAAAAGCTGCAGTGAATCAGGAAATATCTGAAGTTAATAGCTTCGATTTGCTATAAAATGGACGACATAACACAATTGCATGTAGGAAGACAAATACCTAAAAAAAGTGGATTCCGCTTCAGTAGCAACAGCTTTCGCCAAGTAAGACTTTCCTGTCCCAGGAGGACCATAAAGAAGAAAAGCTCTCCATGGTCGCCTCTTTCCTGTAGGTACACGAGAAAGGAGAACAAAAACACTCAAACTGTTGTGAACAAAAGCACCCAAAAAATTGCTCAAGTTATGTCATGCACACGTTGCAGACCACTCAACCATCTCTAATATAACACACAGAGAAAAAGAATATAATACTCACAAGTTTTTTTTCCTTAATGATTTTTATCCCACTACAACTTTTTTGGTTGAGCTAGGAGGAGCTGTAACATGTATAAAGCGAAATTCCAAAAGAAAAAGCCAGACAACTAACTGTCTCTAATTGCTAAGCAAGGCAATTAACCAATCAGTCACCCAAGTATAGAAGACCATTTTCTCAAGATCACGCAGTCACAGGCGAAGAACTTCCACCTTCACATCAAGGCTCTTCAGGAATCTAGTCATGAGACTCTCAAAATTGTACCTAACGCCCTTTGGCAGCCTAGCCTTCTTCATTGTGGACTTCAGCATTTTCTTTACCGAACTTCACATTTCAAAACGCACGCACGGACGCGCTCACACAAATGTTGAGAGACATTTAGAATGTAGAGAAGTTAACTCATCCACAACAGCACTAATAACCTAAGAAATTCTTAAACATGCTCAACAAAAAGCAATTCATTTTTTTACTCATATTCAGCTATCCACAGACTAACCTGGCACATTGTGGTCCCCAAATTGAAAGGCTTAAAATATACAATTGGTAAAGACTTAAACCTACTTCTTTACAGAAGTTAAAAACTAGAACTATTGGAACCCATGTTACCCCAATTACGACATAAGTGTCTTCTAACTAATACTCCACAGTGTATGGTTTGCAACATAAAACTCCGTATAACTGCCTATAATACCCACTGCATAATAAGCACTATAATACCTTTAACATCATATTGCTACTTCCTTCATCCAAGAAAACTAAAGGCATAATACATAAACAGACGCTCAAACTTGGCCTCAGCTCTCACCTGGCAACTAAAGACTCCAACTTGTCCCCACTATGTCTCGTGGATACCCTGCACTGGTGTAGCTCTTAAATTATGTAGGTGTCCAGATGATCATTTTGTAAGTTAGAGTGTTCATCGGACACGGTGGAGACGAGTTGCAGTGTCAAGATGGAGTGCTTACTTTCTAGCTAAGGACATGTTTGAGTGTCTGTTTATGTATTATGCCAAAAAATAATTGTGTTTAAGCTACTTCAGAATCATAAGGAAACCATCAATCAAAGCAACAATCTTTACTAGCAAAATGCAGCAATTACAGACACAAAAAGAAAATCCAACAAAAGCTAACAGACACACACCTGTGAAGAACTGAGGGAATTTCACAGGCAAAATGACAGCTTCCTGCAACGCCTGTTTAGCACTCTCCAATCCAGCAACATCATTCCACTTCACATTAGGTTTTTCTCTAACAATTGCTGAATTAAGCCCAGCCCTTAGCTTAGACTGC